GTCCCTGCGAATCCCAGAAAACCGTGAGCATAACTTTTCCAACTGTATGTTGAGATTTGAACTTTTTTTGACAGGGGACGTCGGGTGTTTCCATTCCATACTCTGACGTTTGCTCTCAGGCTCATGGTGGTGGATCCACGTTTCATCACCGGTGACAATGCGACTCAAAAGGCGTCACCTTCCTCGTGATACCGGTTCAAAAGGTGGTTGCAGATGTCCAAACGGTTACGTCTGTGCTGTTCCGTGAGTTGTTTGGGAACCCACCTTGCACAAACTTTACCGAAGCGAAGTCTGTGGTGGATGATTTCATAGGCAGAACCGTGACTGATCTGCAGTTGGTTTGCCACTTCATTGACAGTCACCCTCCTGTTGTCGAGAATCAGCGCGCGGACATCTTCAATGATCCCTTCGGTAGTCGATGTGGATGGGCGATGGGTGCGATCGTTCTTCGTCAGTAAGACTTGTTCGGCCATTTTTGAACATGTCAATCCATTCGTACACCGAAGCGACGCCGTTTTGTGACAGTGGCATGACACGACTATCGGAGGCTACTTAAAGGCGTGGAGAATGTGGAAGTCGGGTGTTTTTAGCTTAGTGACGTGCGACGAGAAGAAACCACGTACACCATTCGCCTCGCCGGTACAACTGGGGTGATCACCACTCTCTGTAGACTTGCCAATTCCGGTTTATACAGTGATGTTATATCCCTCCAACCGTGCTTACGGTGGCGCGCGAATTCAGCAGTTGGGCCAATCGTAAAAAAAAGATATGACCACTTTGCGGATACTTTTTGACTTACCCTCGTATTATGCATACTGGTGATTTCAAATCAGGCCAGGTGTGAAGAGTAGATGTCAAGTGTTTACATTTGAATGATTCATTAAAAGCAACATTAAAAGATCTGTAAAGACTTCTCGTTTGAAAATACATTTTCCGAAAATGTCACATCTGACACTTTTTTGTCACATCCAACGCAGTCACAAAACAGCCTTACTTTATTTTCCATGTATTGTGATCCTGTGGTTACTTATACTAATTAAATGCTTTCATTTAAACTATAGAATGAGCATAATGCTAAGTTATTAGGCTCCGCTCTATGACAGAAATGTGACCATTTCAGCAAGTGACTTAAACCAGAGATTTCACGAAATGTCATGCCTGACACTTTCATTCGCACATAGGTACACCTCTATCAAAAAAGAGCAAGCAAGACTTTGGATTATGGAATTTTCAGTCACTGCCTAAAGCAAACTGTTGCAACCTTTGTATAGTGATTCGTCGTTTATATTATAGTTTAATACATTTTGTATATCAAACATATTGCTCCGGATGTCACGTCTGATACGGTGGACAGACACATTGCTTTAATTTAGCGCTAAATTTATAATAAGTGCTAAATTTATAATTAAAAAAAAGATAGCTCAATCCATCGCTCTCCCCCTCACCCTTATCTTCAACAATTCATAAGTACGGGCGTTTTTCCATCAGCTCTCAAACATGCCAAGCTCATCGCGATCCATAAAAAAGGAGAGAAGGACATAGTCTCGAACTATCGACCAATCACAATTCTACCGGTTATATCAAAGGTCTTTGAAAAATTAGTGCAACAACGTCTCGACTCGTATCTCAACTCCATCTCCTTCATCTCACAGTCACAGTTTGGATTTCGTAGCAATCTCAGCACTCAAGACGCATCGCTTCATTTCTTGAAGGAGGTGCATTCTATCCTAAACAGAAATCAAGCAGTCGTAGGCATTTTCTACGATATCGCCAAAGCGTTCGATAGCATCTCCCACAAATTATTGCTACAGAAGCTAGAATGGCTTGGCGTCCGCGGTGTCGCAAACTCGTGATTTCAGTCTTACCTCTCCAACCGGCAAGCAGCAGTGGATTTTC